CCAGGTGCCGGCTTTCACAGAAAGATGCCCAGGCTAAACCAGGTAGAAGTAGGGTCCAGTCCCTCTGCTCCCTAGCCCAGCCTGTACCGGAGGGCATCAGCAAAAAGCTGTGGTCTTTAATTTCGGCAATGCATCAGGATGAGGTCACGGGTGTTGTCAAAGCAGAAAAGGGGATTCTGAGACTCGGAGAGCACCTGTACTTAAAACACGGGCATGATAAGACTAAGCATGATTACATTAGGCAGAAAATGAGAGAAGTCGGTAGGTTAATTAACGAAGCAAAAACCGCAGGGAAACTGAAAACAATTAAGGATTTCTTTATTCCTTCCAACTTTAACCATGTGATTGATGCAGTCAGGTCTGTGGCTGGATATGATGAGGAAACAAATCAATACAAGACTCCATCCTTGGCCCTCAAACTCGGCCATAGCCTCAGAAAGCTAGCAGATATTCTTGAATGTGACTCAAAAATGGAGCATTGTGTTGATGAACTATTTATTAAAAACCTCCAACGAAGCCGGCTGCTTTTTGAGAAGAGGTGGGACGTCTGTGTTTCTTCTGCTGCCCTACAGACCCTCCGGCAAGCCAAGTGGAACACTCCGGACCTGCTCCCTCTGACTGAGGACGTTAGAGCCATGCATGCACATATTGAGGTATGTCGACCTGAATATGTGCAAACCCTAATAAGTGAGCCAACGTCTAAGCATTGGTCTAAACTGGCAGTTTTGACTCTTTGTGAGGTCATCATTTTCAATCGAAGAAGGGAAGGTGAGGTTTCAAAGATGCCACTGACAGCCTTTACCTTAAGAAGTAAGAGAAGTAAGGGATCCATTCTGACATTGCTCTGGGACTGTCCCAACTTGAGAAAAATCTGTGTCAGCATTTTCAACGCATTGAAATTAAAGGGAAAAGAAGTCGGAAAGTGCCGGTTCTTTTGACTCCTGAAATGATTGCTTCGATGGAGGTGCTGGTGGAGAACAGAAGGGCCTGTTCCATCTCTGACCATAACCCATACTTCTTTTCCCGCCCGGGCGCAGACACCCACATCAGGGGATCAGACTCCCTACGCCAGGTAGCCAAAGAATGTGGTGCGGTGCATCCAGAGATGCTATCCTCAACCAAACTTAGAAAGCACATAGCTACTATGTCTACAGTTCTCAATATGAAAGAGAATGAGATGGACATACTTGCCAACTTCCTCGGCCATGACATTCGCATCCACAGGCAATATTACAGACTACCAGAGGGGACACTGGAGCTGGCCAAAATCAGCAAAGTGTTGATGGCCATGGAGCAGGGAAGAGTGACGGAATTCGAAGGAAAGAGCCTCGACCAGATACAAATTGAGCCTGAAGGTAATTCTTGATATTATTAAAATATGTATGATTTTTTTTTCCCCTAAAGGCCACTTGTATTTTTATTTTCTGTGCGACAGGGAGAGCAGTAGAGATCCTCTCACAAACGGACGGGCTAAAAGAAACTTCAAGCGGAGAACCTTCAACCATTCATCCAGATGCACCCCATGGTAGTGGCAGTGCCCCTTCTGGTAAGTGTACCAGGTGGGGGATTACAGCCAGGCTGCTTGGTCCTAACCCTGGGAGTGTATATTGCTAATATATTTTTATTTCTCTCCCTAGAACGTGTAAGAAAGCCATGGTCTGCATCTGAGGTGAAGGCTGTGGAGAAGACCATGACACCTTTCATACAGACTGGAAAGGTCCCTGGGAAGTCTCACTGCCTGGCCTGCATTAATGCCTCACCAGATGACCTTAGACATCGGACATGGAGTGGCATTAAATTCTATGTCAAAAATAGAATCACTGCAATTCGAAAACAAAATCTAAAATAAAATTCCTTTAAAATAGTTGTTTGGTTTCTATTGACTGTTTTGTATTACTTAAAGTAGTCCCAGTAAAAAAAGATTATGTCTATGGGTCCCATTCTGAACGGCCCTGTCAAAGGGACCCACCAGGTAACAAAAACGTGTATGTGTGTGTGTGTGTGTGTGTGTGTGTATGTACGTGTGTATATGTGTGTGTGTACCTGAGGTGCTGGAGGTGGGTGGGGGTATGTGTGTGTGTCTGTGCGTGTGTGTGTGTGTGTGTATGTACGTGTGTATGTGTGTGTATATGTGTGTGTGTACCTGAGGTGCTGGAGGTGGGTGGGGGTATGTGTGTGTGTCTGTGCGTGTTTCTGTGTGTGTGTGTGTGTGTATGTACGTGTGTATATGTGTGTGTGTACCTGAGGTGCTGGAGGTGGGCGGGGGTATGGGCAGCCCTCCTCCTCCTCCGTTGGTCTGTGAGCACACGTTGGTCTGATGAGCTGCAGACTTCTGCTTGTAGTGCTGACTGTGGAGCTTGTACTTCATGAGGAGGATGAAGATGAAGACAAGGACCGAGGCCACGATGATGCCCCCGATGATGATGATCATGGTGCCCCCCAGGAACTGAGGAGAGACCAGAGGGCGGGGTCAAACATGGAGGCTACATAAGTATCAGCA